GGGTGACGACAGCGTGGTGATGACGACATCGGGGTGACGACAGCGTGGTGATGACGACATCGGGGTGACGACAGCGTGGTGATGACGACATCGGGGTGACGACAGCGTGGTGACGACATCGGGGTGACGACAGCGTGGTGAAGCGAACAGCGACCGATGGCTCAATATCAAACGTTCAATATTTGCGACCTCTCTCGGCGCACTTGTACTTGTAGTTGTATTGCAGTCGCTGTCTGTTTCAATAATTTTGAGTGCAACCTAAAATCGTCAGTACGTTAATCGACACAAGCATATATTTATATATATCTTTATACATAATCATATCGTGTGGCTCGTCAAAAATATTAGCCTATGTGAGTAATAGCAGTAAAGGAGCCTGTTTTCATCTAAATGGGATGGAAAAGGCCTAGTGATCACCGACTAGTCAGTATCTATAATCCATCCACAGTCAAACCTGTGTACACAGGGATCTCTCTCTGAATGTTTTAGAGTTTGAGCCAAGACTTGAGCTGCCAACATTATTTTTTAATCAGGAATGAAAAACTATAAGCTACTGTTCACTTTATCGTATGTGCTAAGCAAGGCATAAACAGGTGATGGGTATGGGAAAAGAGGTGTACGAAAACATTTTACGACACATGCAGTCACAGCACTACAATTTGATGATTTCATTATTCAAACGTAATTTTGTGAGCAGTTAATTAAACCATTTGCCACTTGGTGTAGTAAAATCATCACTATTATTTATTTATCGCATTTTGCGAAGGTGGCAAACGCCAGCGGTAGCCCTGCACTGGGCACTCAGGGGGAAACTGGCAAAGTGGCCTCTGTGGGCAGCTGGCCTTTCTCTAGAGGTAGTTGCTCTATATAACTGTCACTCAGTGGAAATGCCAAAAGTTACCAACCGAATAACATATGATCAGTGTTTGCCACTGAGCAGAAAAAGCTGTAGGCCTGCAGGGCCTATAGCTCCTAAAAGCTGTAGGCCTGCAGGGCCTATAGCTCCTAAAAGCTGCAGGCCTGCCAATTTTGGAGCAAATTACAGTAATAAAACAGCATATCATGTTCTTCCTTGTGTTTATTAGTCATTATCAATGTCCATTTCACAATCATCTGCTGATTCATCATCATGCTCATGTCAGCTGATTGACCATGTCATCTATTTTTCTCATAACCCTTCTGTTTTTCCTTCCTCTCGTCGGATGACTGTTTATGCTTCTTTGCCGGGGGCTCACAATTAAGGAAACGCCACATAGTTGTTATATGTAGCTCCTTGGTGACTACGACTCTCCACTTTGACAGCAGAGAGACAGACTGGTAGTCTGGTACACATCGGTAGGCTAGCAACGTAGTACCGTATCATAAAATTGCGAGTGGAGCCGTTATACGTACACCAGTCTAACCATGTGTCGATCATACAGTCATGTCGATTGGTCGAAATCTGAGACACTTGCTCAGACCAGACCCACGGTCACTAATGAGAAACGATTTCATATTACTCGCAGCTAATTCCGCACTCGACTGGCAACTTGCCCTTTAGTTTACTACACTGTGGTGCGCAGCTTGGAACAGGGTTCCAGGCTATAGCTCTTTCATTTACAATCAGGCTGCGCGAATATGCAGTGGGCGAACGCATTGTTTACATGTATGTCACGGTTTATCACGGATTAGTTTTCAAATAAATACCCCTGCAAGTTAATATGCAAGAAAAGATTTCTACAGGTAACAGTTTTTCAGTGTTTCGAATTTTCGGTGATCAAATAGCTGTAGGATCAGTGGCCTGTTTTATCAAGAAGCTGTAGGCCCGGCATCGAAACTGTCGGTGGCGGGCCGACGTGAATTTTGAACACTGCATATGATGAACGGTGAAACACAAGCATCGCGCAATGGTTGGTCGAATGAAAATGCCTCGTGTGTATCGGCTTTAAGTGAGGCGTTCTCGAGTCACACCCTGATGTACCGCTAAGGTTCTTAAAATGTTTAGAAATAATTCAAATGGTCCAAAGGTGTACATAGAATTTCAGTAGTTCATGAAAAGGCACGGGGCAAAGGAGTAAAGATTGTTCAAACAACTTTACTCACTAATGTACCAAACCACGCCGAAACCAGTTGTGCTTCGAATTCGAAACAATCGACTAAGGAATAAGAAAATTGGAATCAATTACAGGGTGTAGAAATAGATTCTTAATTCTAATAACCTGAGGGATAATATATTTATTGTAGTAATACATTTTTATAGTATTTTATTTATATTCTTAGTATATATAAATTCTTTTAATGCAAAAATGTAATTGTAATTATGTATAAATAACACCTACATCGTCTATCCGTCTACTAACATCGTCTATCGGTACACTTACCTACTAGGATCGTTCACAAATACCGTATTTTTTGTTATCAGGGTTTAGTCCAAGAGGAGGAGGAGGGAGAGGCGGTGGCCGAGGCGGAGGACGAGGAGGGTTTGGAGACCGTGGTGGAAGAGGAGGAAGTCGTGGGCGTGGAGGTTTCGGGGATCGTGGAGGGGGGCGTGGAGGAGGGCGTGGCGGTTTCGGGGATCGTGGAAGGGGCGGAGGACGTGGACGAGGTATGTGTAAAATTAGACCTGTAAGCGTAGCGATAGGGCAATCGTTCGTTGGCTTGTAATATTTGTTACCAGTACTAATAACTGTTTAGTCTTTCATGGCTTCTGTTGTTTTCTCATGATATGATATAATCATGTGTTTGTGTTTGTGAATAATGACAATATAATAATCAAAATTAATAATTTATATTTAATTTATAAATAATTTAATCAGTGGAATTTATTAGTTAATGCGACTTAGCCACATTGTTGCCATGAATCTTCTACTAATGATAATGCAGTTGTGGATTCAATCTGATTCATTAAACAATATTGTTACATGTGACTGAGTTCTAGCGAATGTTTGTTGTATATTGTTTTTCAGGTGGTCGTGGAGGCGGCCGCGGTGGAATGGCTGGTGGTAGACAGGTTATCATTGAACCTCATAGACACGAAGGTAATCGGTCACATCGAACAGCAATGTTCATACTCCTATCTGTCATTTAGTTAGCACAAGTGTTTACGAACTGCATGCGTCGTTAACATGAGAAGGGTGGCGAAATTATCACGGGCGCACCAGCATATGCTAGACAATTATCACGGGCGCACCAGCATATGCTAGACAATTATTTGGAGGGCTGATGCCATCGGCAAAACACCGATTCTCGGAGCCAGTAGTTTCGGCCGTGTTGGTGAATATCTGCTTTGTTAGTTCTCTGTCATCAATGAGAGATCTTAAATACCTACATCAATGTCTTACCTGATGGGTATCATAGTTTATCAACATTTTGCAAATTTGAAATCGATAATGCAAGAGTGAATATATTGAAATGTGAGTGTGTCTGAATTAAGTCTAGGATAACGGAGGGCAGAGGTACGTAATTCAAAATTTTCAGCTGTACCTATATTCAATTTTGTTGTTTAATTAAAAATGGTAAATTAATTTAGAAAGAAATTTAATTAAGGGCTTATAAGCATTTTTATTTGTCTTCATTCTAATTATTATTTTAGGTCCATTCTAGTTCAAACATCAAACCAAATTTGTAAAGGCTGATGAATTGTCGAGAGGGCCACTAAAAATCTGTTGTTAGCAGGCCCCTGGGCCGGTGCAAAAAATCTGAATTTCATGCCCTGACGATAGTTTTGACCTGATATATTGACAGTTGCCAATCGTTCTCTGACACTTATATAATTATTTTTGGGTGAAAACCAACAACTGGTAATTAAACTGTATCAGTATAGTCACTGTTAAACTAGTAACTAATTTTCCTTTGTGTGTGTTTTTCAGGTGTATTCATTGCACGTGGCAAAGAGGACGCACTTGTTACGAAAAACTTGGTCCCTGGGGATGCCGTCTATGGGGAAAAGAGGATATCGACGGAAGTTCCAATTGTACGCTTGTGTTGAAGAAATTTTTTTTAGAAGATGTATCACTGTTACATGCCACATGTTGTAATCTATGCTATATATCGTAATCTTTGCACTACGTTTTTTCTAATGCAGATGCTTAGATAACGCGTTATTAATCTTCACTGCAGGCCACGGGCACCGAGAAGGTTGAATACAGAGTGTGGAATCCGTTCAGGTCCAAGTTAGCCGCAGCAATTCTCGGTGGCGTCGACAAAATCTATATTGCACCCGGATCAAAGGTTCTCTATCTAGGAGCGGCATCTGGAACGACAGTATCGCACGTGTCCGACATTGTTGGTCCGGTAGGTAACAAGACTGCCATGTGTCTTTTTCGGAACCTTGATGTTGCGTGTCATGAGCTGTTAGGAGTTTATCGAGTTTGCGCTATCTTAGAAGTGTATGTAGAGATGTGTGGCTGGGAGATCTGCGTTTCTATGTAGAAAAGTTCGCGTGGGCCCATAAATGGACAGATAGACAATCTCGGTCAGAGTGCACCGGCATCTTAGAAAACAAAAACACAAAGTTAATTTGTGTAGACTGTATCATTCTGTATATTTAGGTTATGTGGAAGAGCGAGTAGTATTACGTGGTACTCTGCTTAGAAGACTGCAGTTCATGTCGTGACAATATCTATGAAAAAGAGTGCTGTTGTGGCTCTCAGAATAGTACATGCTCTAATGTTTTTGACAGCGCACTAAGTACGTACAACATTCTGTAGCTGACCACCATCTTAGAGTTCATCACCAACTTAATACCAATCACAAGCAATCATGCTCCTACTTGTACTTGCATCGTCAACCGCAACAAGTGTGTGAGTTTATGAAGCTAAAGTAAAAAGTACATTTCCGTCGTTCACGTAAGTCTAGGCGAAGTTTACCCACGTATACTGCCTTGTGTTGTCTATAGCGTGGCTATACTAATAGCGGTTTCTTTTCATGCCATCCCTGTAGGTATTGGGTTAGCAATTGCAGCTGTTCTTGTTAGGGGACCTGCATCAGCATGGATTATATAATATCCTGTACCCTTCTGAATATTTCCCCAGCCAGTTCTGTTTTTAGCTTGTGTTGTGTGCTTTACCATCAGACTCAACCGAATTTTCAGTTGAACAGTATCCGGTGTTATCCTTTTTAAAAGGCCGCGATAGTTAACTGGACTTGTTTTTTTTCAAATGGTTTGTGGTCACTTCATATGAGTACATGTGAGTGCACATGTCTGTGCTAATCTGACAAAGTAATTGATTGACACCTGCAACACTAGCCCCTGGCGATGAAAAAAGAACTTACTCGACCAAATAAATACCGATAATACTACTCATAAAAATAATACTTAAAAAAATACATAATTAAACTAATTACATTACGCTAACATTACTAACATCATTAACTTTGCATTACTAATAAGCTAATTACAGGAAAAACCGTGAAGCTTACGAGGAGCTCGAAACGAAACGTTCCGTTACGTTCGCGAACGACAGCGATCGTTACCGATTCGTTCTAAATCGTGCTGCTACCGCTTGTTCATAAACAAATTCAATCATCTGCTGCTTTCTTGCACAGGAGGGGCTCGTGTACGCCGTGGAGTTCTCTCACAGGTCCGGTCGCGATCTCATCAATGTCGCCAAGAAGCGCACGAACATCATTCCGATCATCGAGGACGCGCGACACCCACACAAATACCGCATGCTCATGGGTGAGTCGTCTGTTCGGTTGCCGTGGCTCCCAGTCAGGGCAGTCTGCCGCTCTCTCAGTCTATTGCCCGCCCCGGCAGAAGTCTATATAGATCTATGTAGTCCTATAGATGTAGTCGTATAGATGTAGTCGTATAGATGTAGTCCTATAGATGTAGTCGTATAGATGTAGTCGTATAGATGTAGTCCTATAGATGTAGTCCTATAGATGTAGTCCTATAGATGTAGTCGTATAGATGTAGTCCTATAGATGTAGTCGTATAGATGTAGTCCTATAGATGTAGTCGTATAGATGTAGCCGTATAGATGTAGTCCTATAGATGTAGTCCTATAGATGCGATTACACCCACACAAATACCGCATGCTAATGGGTGAGTCATCTGTGCGGTTTTCACGGCTCCCAGTCTGAGTCAGGGCAGTCTGCCACTCTCAGTCTTTTGCCCGCCCCGACAGAAGTCTATAGATTTAGTCATACAGATGAGATTACACCCACACAAATTATGCATGGTGATGGGTAAGTCGTTTGTGCGGTTGCCGCGGTTCCCAGTCGAGCCCGGCAGACGTCTAGAGATGCGATTAAACTCGCAGCGACAACGGATTTTAATAATTTTTTCGATTCGTGTCGACCATGACTTCATGCCGTCGTCAGTAGCTGGCCGGTTGGAAATGCGCAGGTCTCTAGTAAATGTTCATTCTCCGTAGTATAAATTGGTGACGTTTTTTAAAGGTAAACATTTATTTACCACAATGTGGTACGTATAATGGCAGGAGTAAAAAAAAACCAAGGAGTGTGCAAGGGTCAAACATTCCCCTAGCATCGTACATAATTTTGTTTTCACATACACATTCACGATCCTTGGATATAGATAGTAATGCAGGATCGTTGCAAAAATGAAATGTTTGAGGTAGATTCTGAGCTCAGTTTAGTTGCATTAGTTAAACATAATGAATCGTCGACAATTAGAGCAAACGTTGGATTTCCACTAATTTAGCCTTGCACTCAGTTCCTTTGCTTTTATTCACTCCTGGTAGTTGTAGTATGGGTCACTAGACGTTAACTGTGTCAATACAGCATTAGGTAAGAATAGTGAAGAGAATGCAAATGCTAAATGAAACTGAAATTCAAATGCTGGTGAATTTGCATACAGATAGTAACAACATCGGCAAGCAAAGGACTGACTTCACTTATTGTAAACTAGGAGTAATTTATTCTTGCTGTTGTTTGGTGATTGCAGGCATGGTTGACACAGTGTTTGCAGACGTTGCACAGCCCGACCAGGCTCGTATCGTAGCAATTAATGCACACAACTTCTTGAAGAACGGAGGCCACTTTGTCATATCAATCAAGGTTTGTATGGCATTTTTCTTTTATTATGTCAAGAAATGCTGCTTTTCGTAGTCCCATATGATGTAAAGTTTTCTAGATTGGTTGGCTGTTCTTGATTTTTAGCTCACCTTGACATCGTCAAGCTGAGCTATTGCCATGGGTCGTCGTCCGTCGTACGTCCATCCGTCCGTCCGTCCGTCCTTCCGTCAACATTTGGCTACGGTCAACGATAACTCAGAAACCGTTTGACCCACATGTTTGAAATTTGGTATAGTTGTTACTGCTATGCTCCCATATTGAACGTCCTATTTTGGAGCACACCAGTCTACGTACTTTCGAGCCACGGCAATTTTTTTGGCAAAAATCGGAATTGCCATTAGTCAGTTCAGGTTCAACGGATTTTGCTCATTTTTGGTATGTGAATGAATGAGAGGGCCAGGTGTTTTTATATTTAAATTTTTTTTTATTCAAATTAGGTAGGTTTTGGCAATTATATAGCATATTATGTTATAGACACGCAGATAACAGTCTGTGGTGTCACACTCGTCTGGTTCGTTTTACAAGATTTCATTGACAATATCTTTAATGCAAAATTGGTATTTCCTCTCCACCCTGCCGGTAAAACGTCTATATTAGAGTAAAGTTTTACAAAACATGTCGGAACGCAGCATAACCTATTTATTTCGAACGCCATCGCTAAGAAACATCAAAGCGGGTATAGCGCCATCTACCGTCACAAATTTGGATCATTTTGGTTTATAAATTATTATTGCGATATACAGATGGCAACCGTGTGCTACCGCCTAGAAAAACTCATACGAAGTACACTTTCATGCAACCAATTAACCTTTGACAAAAGTTGTGTTATATGCAGGGAAACACCATTGTCACGTGGTATGTAGCAGCTACGTGGAATAAGCGTATCATCTCAATCTTACACGTCACACACCGGGAGCTCCGCTTTTAGGCAGTGCCTAAATCTGAATATTATAAAAACGTTAAATGGCGATCATTTAGGTGTAACGCCATCACTCGCCCACATCTCAGACTTTCACATCTCAAACATTTATTTTCACATAAAAAATTACACATAATTATCAAGAGTATATAATGGGAGTTCTCCCATATATACTCTTCGTTTCTATCATGTACGGCGATGGTTGCTCAATTAAAACTGACTTCTTCTCACTCACTCATTTGTGTCCTTTTTTGTGGTGAGCTACAGTGTCATTGACACTTTCATTGTTTGTACAGTGAGGCCACAATTAAAAAAATCTTTGTTTACCCTCACCCGACCCAGGCTGAAAAGTTTGGGTAGGTAGGTAGGCTTCTTTTTCTTTTTTTTACAAATTCAGCATGGTGTCTACATGCTTGGGTGTGCTTGCGTGGAGATACCTTTTATGTTGAATGTTTGTTTTGCTTGGTACACATAATGTATTGCCTACAGATTTATATAATGTACAGTGATACAATTTGTAAAAAAAAAGAATGGGAAAGATCAATATTAATTTTTGAGTCGGCACCTTTTTGGCGGGTCGGTCGGGTGAGGGCAAACAAACAATATTTTTATCATGGCCTGATGCACAGTTGTATGTTTTGTACAGCCATAGGTGTGCAAACTTTGGTCACATTAGTATACAGATACATGTATGAAGGAATAGTAAGGCATCATTACTTTATCATGCAACTTGTTTTTAAATAGGAAATGTGTTATCACGTATTAGACATCCAGACATTAGTGGTTTGACTAAGAAACATTTAAATGTAATAATGCACAGTCAAAAGTGGTACCAAATTTCAAGCCAGATAAAATAGTAACATGTATAATTATCATGCACAGACATTTATTAGTGATTCATTATATAATACACACCGAAATTCGATACAGTTTTTGTCAAATGAATAATTCAATTAAAGATAAAATCCGCCCAACAGAAAGCCTGCAGATAGAAAAGCAATGTGTACAAAAGAAAGGCAGCCTTATTAAATACCGTGTGTTACATCCCATCTGGCAGTTGTACACTATTTTGGGCCCATTCAGTGATCCTTTTAATAGTAAGCATCGGCAACTGCTATACATATATTCAAACCGTTCTGTAATTCCATATGTCAGTTATGTGATGATATACAAGTATATTATGTAAACTTGAATATATTCTCTCTATACATCTTTCCTTCTACAATGGACACCATGAAAAATCAAAACACTTCTTAACAATACAATAATTATGCCTAACTGATTTCATAATGTTTAGCTCGTTAACGTGTCATTAGTATACATGTGCGACCACACACGTGATACATTCACGAAGTATACGGTGATAGGTCAATTTGCAACCTAAATCTGTACATGAACTCATGGTTTAACTAAACGTCTCTTAGACTCGAAACTGCAAAAATTATTTCATACAATTATAACTTTAGTATGAAAAAAACCATTGTCATGAACTAAGGGAGGTAAGCATGCATGTGTAACCTTGCGTAACACCTTCCGGTTCGTACTACCGCGTCTGAAAACAAGATTTAAACTAGTAGTAAGATGGCTCAATACCTATTCGTACCTGTACATTACATATATGTTGTCTTACACAAGTTGGTGAAATTGAGCGATCTCATCCTCCCTGCAGTATGCTGCCAAACTCTTCATGTACCCTTGCCCGAAGTTGCTCATTTCACATTTTGATGCTTGCGTTTGAAGCGGTAAATTTTGTATCGACGCAACGGTAACCGCTCGGTTCCTATCGCGTCGGTCTTTTAGTTTCGCTATGTCGCTGCAAGATACGGGGACGTGACGCAACAAGCGCATGTGCTTGCCTCCCCCCCTCCCCCTACGGTTCACCTCATAGCTCATTTTGCAACGTCGCGACGTGACTGTGGGGGGGGGCAACAAGCCCGAGTCTGCAGTTTTTATGATTGTGGGATCAATTGCAACCGGGTCTCTACTTTCGGTGAGGGCCCGGCGATGTTCGGATCGTTGCGATATCGGGGATCCTGCCCGGCGCGCAATCGCACGCGCGCGGGGGCAGCATCCAAGACGGGGGAGGGCGCGGCTCTCTCTCTCTCTCTCTCCCTCTTGTCGTCATCACGTGTCGTAGCAAACGAGTGTAAGTGAAAGATTGGTCGTGCGGCGCGCGGGTGCCCGCCGCCTGCATCACTTGCAGCACTTTCCCGTCGAACCCTGTGACCCTGCGCCGCCCTCATCCAGCCGCCGGCTGCCGCTGCCGCCCTGCCCCACCGCGCCGCCGCCCGCCTGATCGTTCTTAGGAAGCTTCTTCGCTATCGCGAGAAATATGTCGTTGACGTTCATTGCTGTCTTGGCCGACGTCTCCATGAACAACAGTCCGTTCTCCTCCGAGTACGCCTGTGCCTCGTCAAACTCCACCATCCGGCCGTTCGCGAGGTCCGCCTTGTTTCCCGCGAGCGCGATGACGATGTTCGGGCTGGCCTGCCTTTGCAGCTCCTTGACCCAAGTCTTCGCCCTGCTAAACGTGTCCTGGGTGGTGATGTCGTAGACGACGATGGCGGCCTGCGCGCCTCGGTAGTACATCGGCGCGAGGCTGTGGTATCGCTCCTGCCCCGCGGTGTCCCATATCTCGAACTTGACCGTGAGGTCGTCGAGACAGACAGTCTGAGTGAGGAACGCGGCGCCTATCGTGCTCTCCTGGTACTCGTGGAACTGACCCTTGACGAATCGCAGGACCAGACTCGACTTTCCCACGGCGCTCTCGCCTAGCAGCACCAATTTGAACTGACAGATCTTGCCCGCCGCTCCGGCGCCATTCGGTCGCTGTGCCGTCCCTCTACCAGCCATGACCGTTACCCGACTTGCGGTGTGCAGTGTGCGGTTAGCCGACTTGTGGTGGTAGTAGAAGGTGGATGTCGTTGGGGAGGTTTTTCTGTCCGAAGTAGTTTTTCTGTAAAACGATGCGGTACTGTTTAATTAAGATTATACAGACTTGCGAAATACTACTCTAGAACTTAAACAGAAACTAGCTTTGTGCAAGTTAAGTGTCACCAACTCCCTAAAAACCCCTTCCCAACTTCCCAAAAAAACAAGTTAAACGATGTTGAGATTGTTTCTTCCATTGATATATACTGAAGCTGGAAGTACACTTGTCAACAAATAGCGATAATGGGCGAGTGCCCGTTCTTATTTTGTATCGATGATGTCATCATTCTTGCGCATGTTTGCCAAGCCAATGCCATTTTTCCTTGCAACCTAATGTAATAATTAGTTGCGATCAGCAGCGCAGGGTGTTCTTGAAGTTACCTATATGTTAATGGCAATGAGTATGAATCGCAACCAAGTAGAGGTATATAATTTGCAATTTAACCTACGTCGATGTTGAATAAGGTATCCTGAAACGTAAATGTCGTACAATCGCGTTCCACCCTCTCCCTGATATACAAAATGGCTGACTGTATTATAGGGAGGTGCTGCCACCCTGTGTAGCGTTGTGCAAGTTCAAAGTGCATAGTTAGTTATTGATCCAGTCGCGTGACGAATGCAGTTGCACGTTCTGTTTAGCGCTGAGTCATTTCGACATTCCCAAAATAACTTCGAGCTGCATTCAACGGCGGCCCTTCCTTCCTTTCACGTTATTGAAAGAATATTCAGTTGACTCGGCATTGTTACTTTTAGATATCTTCAGTATATCATGAAGTGACGTGCATTGCCTCCACAAAAAGGTGGATTTTTCACTAAATCATTTTACTGTAAAAGACATTTGCCAACATATTAATTATTATGAAATATTTATTGTATATAATTCAAATACAATTACTGACTACAGTCTTTTACATAAAGTAAAAAACTGTTAAAACCCTATAATCCCTAAGTAACACAATACAATATGGAATGCGGAAAAAATATTACTCAGAAAACTATTATACTCAGAAAACTTCATATATAAAATTTAGCTTGTAACAAAAAAGTGATTTATAAAGTAATATATATATATATATATTAAATTATCTCAAATATTAATGATATTTACTCTCATAAACTAACAAAGTTGGCATTATTAATAACTAGATACGAAAACGTAATAGCACTTTCCTTTTTTACTCTTCGCTATATAACAATGGAACAGCCAACAGCATGTCTCAATATTTTATTAATGTAATTATGTATTAATTTTTATAATTATGTATTAATGTTTCATTAATGTATATCTACTCTAGTATACAAAAGATCATGGTGTACGTGCATGCATGTGTTGTGCATGCAGGAATTATCACGAAACATATCTATGTATACCGTCAATGTGCCATACAAATTATACACATGTTCGTGATATTATCAAAGGTTAATAATAACAACTAGAGCACTCGGAGAGCGCAGACCTCCGCCAAGGCAGCTCAATTCTGTCACTGTGAAAAATTTAATTAATTAATTAATTAAATAATTAATTCGATCCAGATCACCACCAAAATGTAATCAATTCTAAGTTACCCCATTTCTGACCTATCCTGAAAACTTTATTAATTAATTAATTGAATCCGGATCACCACCAAAATGTAATCAATTCTAAGTTACCCCATTTCTGACCTATCCTGAAAACTTTATTAATTAATTAATTGAATCCGGATCACCACCAAAATGTAATCAATTCTAAGTTACCCCATTTCTGACCTATCCTGAAAACTTTATTAATTAATTAATTGAATCCGGATCACCACCAAAATGTAATCAATTCTAAGTTACCCCATTTCTGACCTATCCTGAAAACTTTATTAATTAATTAATTGAATCCGGATCACCACCAAAATGTAATCAATTCTAAGTTACCCCATTTCTGACCTATCCTGAAAACTTTATTAATTAATTAATTGAATC